AAACAAGACAAAGCAGGGATAAGGAGAAAAAAAGGGAGTCAGATACAAAGCCAAGGTCAAGCACGAAAAAAAAGCACTACTGAACGATACAAGCACTAAAGGGAACTGAATCAGAAACCACGATAGGGCAGGGAGCTAAGGGAAAGGTGAGTATAAATACCCTAGTGTTCAATTTGATTGGGCCCTGTCATATCCACGCCCCCAAAATGTGAGTGTATGGGGAATGTGGAATGACATGGGCCAATGGGAAACCGTTTCACATTTCAGCTCCCACTGTCCCTTTAAGAGCACGCCCGAGATGTGCGGCGCGCTCTTAGAGCCAGGCGGGGCACGTGACCGCGTCTTCCTGTAAACTCCGGACGAGCCGCGTGCAGGACCGCGTGCAGCGGGAACAGAGGACCTCGGCCGGCCCGTGGATAGGGTAAGTACTGCTACAATAACAAAGTCAATGCTATATACCTATGTTACATCAATATCATAGATGATATAAACCAGATACCACTTAGAACGTTTACAAAATAACATCAAAAAGGGAGGGAAATACTCGCCTTCTGTCATTACTAAAATTAAGATTATTAGTACACTAAAGCTAGCATTATCTTCAATTTTACCACATGATAGGAGGTTTCCTATTTGTATTTTTAACGCTATGAATTAACCAAAGTTAAAGAGGCATGCAAAGTCTGCCTAAAGTAGAACGTTCTAAATGTGCTCTCACGTGTCCAATCTGCACAACGCATAATATCGGCCAGGGAAGCTCCTGCCGACAATGCCTGTGAAGCGGCCACACCCCTGACTGAGTGAGCCCCAAAAACATGGTTCAACGCCGGCTAACGCTAGAAGCCAGCGAATCCTTCTGGCCAAGGTCGTTGTAGACCCCGGGCCGTGGGGTTTCACATATGACGATGTTCGGGGGGGAGCTGAGACTTCTATATAACGCATTAATGTCCTGGCCAACACAGTCTGGGATCCGATACAAAAAAACGGGAAAAAAAACAAACAAAAAACGACGAGGAGTCTGATTTAGTCCGACGTGATATCTGGAAGGTAACCCCTTCTGGAGTGAAGGTGAAACCGTCGACAGCAAATGCCCGTACATCTGATACGCAACAAAACGAAACGAGACATGGTAAAAGGGTGAGTTTGGCTGAAATGTATTTCAGCGAAAGGTACGGGTTATCCGGCCACTCCCTCAGGAAGTGTAGCATCACATCCACATGCCATAGGCGTGAATATTTTGGCGCTGGAGGTCTCGACAGCTTGGTACCCCGAAACAAGCAGCAAACTAACGGGTCTTGACCCACCGGAATGCCCTGTATCGGTACGTGCGCTGCCGATATGGCAGATTTAATCACATTAAGGGATCGGTATGACCACCCTTGTGAGAACAG